GCCTCGCACCGAGGACCTATCCACGTCATCATTTACCCAGAATGCTTTGTGTGTAAAAATGACTCCGTCTGTGTAATATATTTTTTTTAAATTTAGTCTAAAAATTATAAAATCTAAACAGTATTTTTACAGACTTTATTTTACAGTTAAAATAAACGCTTATCAAAGAGTCTAACGTTACAACTAATCGTGGATCACTTTAAAATCTTGAAAAGGATTAAGGCATCTCATGCTCAGAATATGAGTTGTCAAAGCCTCTCAGCTACCACATCCAAATTTACTTCAGTTTACTTCATTTAACCCTTTTAGTGTTGATGATATCATTTAGCGGTGGAGGCCATCTTGAATTGGGTTGATTAGTTGCAGAGATACATCCAACCTTTACTTCCTGAAAGTGTCCTTTCAGCCGGTTGTTTTTACCTGAATCTTTAGCTGATGGAAAGCTTTGCTCTTCTTCCTGAGAGGAGCAGAGAGCGACAGCAGGCCGCCCTGGTCCACGTGGAAACGGCGCTCATTGTTGCCGCTGATGATGTGGAAGGAGAAGGGCGGGCCGTTCTTGGGGGTGTCTCTGTCCGTCACGACCAGCTGGAGGATGCTGCTGCCGATGGACTCGCCCTCCTGCGGGAAACAGCATCATTATTTTTTTTTTAATTTAATCAGTTCTGCTGCAGGGTTCCAATAAATAAAAAAACACAGGTTCTGCTTYGCAAACCCAAACCTCATCAGCACCGCCTCCTGATGTTGTTTTCTTAAATATGATGTCATCATATTGTAACTTTTGCACCAAAGGACTGAACCTTTAACTAATTTAATCAAAAATGATCCAAAACTGTTTGCTGTGATGAATGACTTGTTTTTATTCTCATCTGCTGAGCTGGTTTTTCACAGGGGCCCGATATTAATAGAAACCACTGGTCCTTTACAAAACAGGTTATCAATYTCAGAACACAACACGCCTCAGGAGATGGATGGCAGGAAGGCGTACAAAATATGGAGTTACTGGGCTAAAATATGCAACAGCCCATGTGAAGCCTTTAAAATTGAAATTATAGCACGCATCAGGAGACGCAGTCACGTTTGTCAAAGAAAAAACATCATCGGGCTGTGAGGGATGTGCAGGTGGAGCTACTGAAAATAAGGATTTATCTTCGACCAGAACAAATGTATGGAGGACCGAAACTGACGTAATTAGAAATAAAAGCCTAAATATATAAATGGACCAATGAATAAATAAATAAACTTAAAATGCACAAATTAAAATTATAAAGGAGAACTTTACCTCATGTTTTATAATTTAATTGGCTTTCATATTTATTTTTTCCAGCTTGGTTCCAATAAATTAATATAAATAAATAATGTTAACACATAATTTAAATGTTAATGTTTTTTTAAATACATATTTCACATAGTTTTTCCTTTTACTTCTACATGCATT